CTTCAATTTAAATTTCGATTTAAAGCTTTCGTGACTGGTTCTTTCGGTAAAATGTATGCTGGCTGGCATACATTTAACTTTACCGAAAGAACCAAGAAGATGACCTTCAATTTGTTGAAATTCACTGCTCTGATACTTTATTCTCTTCTGCTTTCGGTCGCTGGGGTTGAAATAAATTGGAATTCGACACACGATGTGGAAAATCACCGAGAAATGTCTATTTTACCATAATGTAGAAACATAAATTAGACTTACCTTTTGTCTCAAGTGCTGAAGAAATAAAGACACCAAATCCACTTTGTTGCTGCGTATAATTATTTATTAGATTCACTTTCAATAAAGAAACGTCAAACTTGAAGCGAATTTGCAAACGAAGTTATTTCCGCTCGACCTGCGTGAGTGTAAAAATCTACCCGCTCATGAATATTAATGAGGGGGGTGTGGCATGTGGAGTGACGCCACGCGCATTACACACAAACAGACATTCTTGGCTCATTATAGTAGTAATTCTACATTCAATAACCACGTGTGAAAAAGTATGTGACCCTTTAGATTCAATAATTGGTGACACCCCCTTGAGCAGCAATGACTGCAACGAAGCGTTTCCTGTAACCGTTGGTCAGTATCTCTCACATCGGATTTGAGGAATTTTGGCCCATCCCTCCTCACATAACACCTTCAACTTTGGCCCATCCCTCCTCACATAACTCCTTGCATGGACTGCTCGCTTCAGCTCCTGCTAGAACATTTCGATGGGGTTTAGTCCCGGACATTGACTAGCCCCATTGTAAAAAGCTGAATTTCTTCTTCTGCAGCCATTCGTTTGTAGATCTGCTTGTATGGTTAGGATCATTGTCTTGCTGCAAGACCCACTTTCGATTCAGCTTCAGCTCACGGACGGATGGCCTGTGATTTTCCTCGAGAATCTATATATATAAAATCGCGAATCTGTCTGTCTGTCTGTGTGTCGCCGGACCATACGCAGTTTCATTGGACGGTGGTTGCCCCTGGCAACGGGTAGCGACGCATTCGGCGCGTGGGGGACGCCATTTTTAATTCCCGTTAAAAATAGGCGCACGCATTAACACGCGACTCTGAGGTAAATTCATCAAAGTTTCACGTCCTCTTCACTCCCCCCCACCACAATGTGTGCAATTACTATTATAGGGTCGGTAGATTATAAAATTATAGCGATTAGACAGTATTATTGTAGCGCGGGGGGGGGGGGGAAACGGCACCCGTACCCAGCCTCAGCCGGGTGGGCAATTTAGGCGAGGCCGGAGGCTCTGCACGGTGCTAGGCCTCGACAGCCACCACGCGACTCTGAGGTAAATTCATCAAAGTTTCACGTCCTCTAGAGAGTGGTGAGGGAGAGTGGTGAGGGAGGGTGGTGAGGGAGGGAGGGGAGGGAGGGAGAGAGGTGAGGGAGGGAGAGTGGTGAGGGAGGGAGAGTGGTGAGGGAGGGAGAGCGGTGAGGGAGGGAGAGCGGTGAGGGAGGGAGAGCGGTGAGGGAGGGAGAGCGGTGAGGGAGGGAGAGCGGTGAGGGAGGGAGAGCGGTGAGGGAGGGAGAGCGGTGAGGGAGGGAGAGCGGTGAGGGAGGGAGAGCGGTGAGGGAGGGAGAGCGGTGAGGGAGGGAGAGCGGTGAGGGAGGGAGAGCGGTGAGGGAGGGAGAGTGGTAAGGGAGGGACTCAGCCTCAAAACGAGTAACTGGTGTGGCGTATGAACATCGCCACTGGGGAGACAAAGGCGGCCGGCCGTGGTGGATCCAAGTCCCGGGCGAAGCCGGGTAGTACAGCTAGTCTTCTGATACAATGCAGAATTCATGGTTGTGTCAATGCAGCCCTAAACCATCACATTCCCACCACCACGCTTGACGGTTGGAATGAGGTTCTTCTTTTCGAAAGCAGTGTTTGGTTTTTGCCAAACATAACGTTTCTCTTAATCTTTGGAGTTTTCGTGACTGCAGGAATTATTCTTTGGTTTTTTCGGTAAAGTGCAATCGAAACGTCGTATGCTATTATTTAATTTATTACTTTATCTTTATACGTGACTTTACCAAAAAAACCAAAGAATAACGTTTCTCATTGAGGCCAAAAAGTTATACCTTTGACTCGTCTGTCCAGAGAACATTGTTCCGGAAGTCTTGTGGATAATTCATATGCTTTTTGGCGAACTTCAGACGGGCAAACAATGCTCTTTTTGGAGAGAAGTGGTTTTCTCCTTGCTATCCTTCCATGAACACCATTCTTGTTCAGTCGTTTTCTGATAGTTGAATCATAAACACTCACATTAGCCAAGGCGAGAGGGGCCTGCAGATCATTGGATGTTTCTCTGGGGTTCTTTGTGACTTCCTTGATGATTTTCCAGTTTGTTCTTGGAGACATTTTGGTAAGATGACCGCTCCTGGGTAGGGTGACTGGTCTTTCTTTCTCCATTTGTCGACTATCTGTCTGACAGTGGATTGGTGGAGCCCACACGTTCTTCGAAATGGTTTTGTGACCCTTTCTGGACTGATGAGCATCAATAACTTTTTCTGAGGTCCTCAGAGATGTCCTTTGATCGTGGAATGACTTGTTTCCACGCACTTGTGTGGTGAGGACCAAACTCACAAAGTTTCTGATCTTTATATCGGGTGGCGCCTCCCAAACTCTCCTCTCAAGATCTACCTAATTATTTAAACACCTGATTCTAATTATTCCCTTAATTGGCCTAATGAAAACAGGGGTTCACTTACTTTTTCACATCCTCTGAACCTTAATAACTCATTGTTTCTAGATTTGAAAACTGGAGGACCCGGCGAAAAATCCACGCGACCACGGGGAGAGACACGAAAACTCCAAATTTACAGCAGGCGTTAGGGTCGGGATCGAACCCAACGACCTATTTGCATACCAGGCAAGGTAGTTAAGATCTTGCCCCAAATCTGTCCTCGTTCGATCGTCATCGAGTCACCCACCTCAAGACACTCCAGGAGTTGCAAAACCATCTCGCCCGCGTCGTCCTCGGCGCCTGTCATGCAGCTTCCAAGGTCTTGATTCTCTTCTTCCTCTCCCCCTGTGGCCCTGCTCTACAGCTCACGGTGGAATTTCTCCGCAGCAGTGCCACTCGCAACCTCATCCTCCTCTCTCACCAAGGACCCAGGGCCGGCAGTGCCAGGCGGCGTTTCTCCGCGTGGCAGAAGCCCCCAGCGTCCGGAGTGCCATCTCGTCGCACATTCACAGCGGAGGCATTCAACCTACACGGACTATTAATGGACCCACCTCTTTCTTAAAGGTCAACTCTTTTTTTATGAATGCCTACCTCTTTCGTCTGTCTTTTCTGTGAAATAGAGCTTGATAGCTAATCGGATTCCTCCACTGTGAATAAAGATTCGGAGACTGGCTTTCCAGTGACGCTGTTGGTTCCGTACTTCAGAGTAAATAATTTGTGTCCGTGAAATGTGTGCTTTATAAATTGCATCATTGTTATTATGACTTGCTTGCCACGTTCTCTTCTGGACTTCTGCGTTGCTTAATCCTGTCGTGCCAAGAAACGCTCAACATCCGTCTCAGATACTTTAAACTATGCAGTTGATATGAATGAAATATAATTTCAATTGGCCACTGCAGTAAACTTATAATATAAATATCACTGCCCACGCATTATAACGTAATCATTATTTATACGCATGATTCGATTATCCAATTAGCCAAACATTCACATAGATTAGCCAACCATGCACACGAAACGTCGTGAGCTTTTATTGATTTATCTATTTTATCTACGTGACTTTACCAGAAAAAAACAAAGAATATTCACATAGCTGTCAACCCATACGGTTTACCCCGTATTCTTGTACCGGGAAATTGAGTCTTCAGCTCCATACCACGTACAGCCGTTTAAATGGGGGCAAAACTATTTTTCGTGTACCTTATTTGTGTTTCTCCCTTGTGATGGGACTTTGTACGGTGAGCGTTGATATTTATCAGGGTACGGGGTGACCAATAATGTCTGAATTGGTCTGTAATAAGAAGGCACTGATAAGGGGTTGACAGGTATGTAGTGGTGAGTGTACTCGTGGTGAGTGTACGAGTGGTGAATAAACTAGTGGTGAGTGTACTAGTGGTGAGTGTACAAGTGGTGAGTTTAGAGTGGTGAGTAAACTAGTGGTGAGTGTACTAGTGGTGAGTGTACAAGTGGTGAGTGTAGAGTGGTGAGTAAACTAGTGGTGAGTGTACTAGTGGTGAGTGTACAATTGGTGACTAAACTAGTGGTAAGTGTAGAGTGGTAAGTGTACTAGTGGTGAGTGTAGAAGTGGTGAGTGAAGAGTGGTGAGTGTGCTAGTGGTGAGTGTACTAGTGGTGAGTAAACTAGTGGTGAGTGTACTAGTGGTGAGTATAGAGTGGTGAGTAAACTAGTGGTGAGTGTACTAGTGGTGAGTGTGCTAGTGGTGAGTATAGTAGTGGTGAGTGTACGAGTGGTCATTGTCTATTTGTTTGCGTTTCTCCCTTGTGATGGGACTTTGTAGGATGAACATTGATATTTATAACAGCACGGGGCGACCAATAATATCGAGAATTGATCTGTAATAAGATAGGGCACTGATAGGGGGTTGACAGATATCCATACTCTTAGGTTTTTTCGGTAAAATCACGTAGGTAAATAATAATAATAAAATAATAATAAATGAAAATAACTCCAGTTTTCTTTTTTTACCTACGCGACTTTACCGAAAAAAACCTAAGAGTATGAATCATTGCAGTCACGAAAGCTTCAAATCTAGAATTAATGACATATATCCATTCAGCTACCCCGATTAACCGCCACGTGTCACGGTTATTCGGCTGAGCGGGCGGTTCATAGCCCCTCCCCCTCCCACGCTAGCTCCTCCCCCTCCCACGCTGGCCCCTCCCCCTCCCACGCTGGCCCCTCCTCCTCCCACGCTGGCCCCTCCCCCTCCCACGCTGGCCCCTCCCCTTTTCCCGCCCCCTCCTTCTGCCCTCGGCCCCCTCCCCAGTGAAATGCGCGGGAAGCCGCCAGCGTCGTCGCCGCGCAGCCCAGAGAAGTCGAGCGTCGAGCGGTCGCTCGATCCGCATTCGTCTCCCCGCATCGGCGCTCGGCGCGCGGCTGCTCTGGCCTAGGCCCTGGGTATCGCCCCCCCCCACGCCTGCGAGAGAGACTTGAAGTGAAAATGGCGGGTAAGTGTAAGCTCGTCATCTCCCGCGCCGTTTCTCTCTTTCCTCTCTCTTTGTCTGTCCGGCCTCTCATCTCCGCTGTCTTCTCGCGTGAATCTGGGGCTGCGGGAGACGATGGCGTTGGGGGGGAGGGCGGACGGGGAGGCCTCCTCGGTGCGGCGGGCGAGAGAGCAGGCGAGCGAGGCCTGCGCGCCGTGGGAGTTGGGCCCGCGTCGTCCCTGCCTCGGGATTGAGACGAGTTTCGAGTTGGGTTAATGTTTAGGGGTTAGAGTGAGGAACCAGGGTCGGCTTCGTGACAATGGGAGTGGGGCTAGGATCTATGTGAAGGGTTGAGACAGACTGCTGTTTTGGGATAGAGTTGAAAAATGTCCGAGTGATTTCGTGCCCAATTGAGCGTTGTGGCATTTGGTGCTTGGCTCCTGTTTACAGTTCTGAGATGATGGGGGGGGGGGGGGGGGGGGCAATTCCACGTTCTTATGGCAGCAGGGACGAGCGAGTTCATCCATGGAACAACCTCTTGACTTCTCCAGAGTGGTAGGCGATTTTAGCGGCCCCCGGGAGGGATGATGAGCTGAGTCAAGTCCCAACAGGATCTGAAATGGGAAACCTTCCTATCACTTAGTCGCTGTATTTAGGGTTATAGATGATGTGAAGGTTTAGGCATCAAGTTCAAGTGTATTTTGTTTCACCAGGTGAGAACTCAAAAGGCCGGGAAATAATCATTATTGTGGCCCAGGTCAAAAACAAACTAAAGCAACCGTGCAAACATATAAGTGCAAATAAAGGTTTAGGGATGGGGTTTAAGGTTTTAGTCACTGCTTTTATGGGTGAGGTTAGCATTAGATTATTGGATGTGGTCAGGCGAAGGTTGTTATGTTAAGGGTGGATATTAACGGGCGCAGCAGCAATGTTTCTGGATGAGGTGAGGCTTAGGGGTGAGTTTAGATTTTTTTTTATTTGATTAGGGATGAAGTGAGGTTTAGTTATAGACTAGGGAACAGGTTGTGATGGTGTGAGGATTATATATGGGGTTGGATATTAATTTAATCCAAGGTATGAGATTTAGGTTAGAGACATGGTCGGGGATGGGGTATAGTTTTAGCATTTGTTTACAGCTATGGGTGAAGATCGATTTTGCATTGTGTCTAGGAAGTGGGGATGTAGTTGGTGATGTGGTTATTGTACCATGTGAAAGTTTTGCTTTGTCTTTGCTTTGTGCTCTAGGTTTAAGTCAAATGCAAGCAAAGTTGGCTGCATATAAATCGGACACAAACGAAGCCATCTCACTAAAACTAGGTAAAGTAATGTGTAAACTGTTGCCATATCCAGTAGACTCTCGATGATACGCGCTAACGACGGGGAGGACGGCCGCGAATAATCTAAAAATATAAATTTTCTGTGGATCTCTATGCCAAAACCCGCTAATATAGGCATAAATTATGTTCGGTTCAAGCACTTGACCTGCAGTAAATATTTCCAAGAATAACAATGCATACCTGTCAACCCCTTATCAGGGCTTATCTTATTACAGACCAATTCATTGCTTATTGGTCACCCCGTGCCCCTTATACATCTCAACGTCCATCCTACAAAGCCCCATCATGAGGGAGAAACACAAATAGACAATTTTTTTTGCCGGTATTGAAATGCCTGTACGCCGAATGGACCTGAGAACTATTTTTTCCTGTACAAGATTATAGGTAAACCGTATTATGGGTTGACAGGTATGATCATGTATAACTTATTATTAATTTGGGTTTAAGGGAAAATCCATCGGTTATTAATTTGTCAATCTCAGTGTGCGCAGTTAATCTGCAAATGGGATAAAGAAATCTGTTGAAATATTGCGTGGCACTGAGTGAAAAAAACGATTTCGCTACCGTGTGCAGCATTGGATTACCTGGCATGAATTCCACATGCGTGTGTAACTCATGCAACTGTTGCTATTAATCCACATTGATGTTACGTGTAGGGCTTGACTTGTTGCTGTTGTTATGTCCCAATGTACAGTGCGGTTTGTGTGTTTGCAGTGAGAAACCTGGAGGATCTAGAGGATGATGAAACAACATTTAAGCCGGAGTATAGCCACCAAGTTTTTGATGACAAGTACGTCGTGCACAGCTTAACCTACCTATACAAGCACCACGATGTTTTTTTTTTACCGTTTACTTATTATTATGCTGTGAAATGTGCTTTGGAGTTGTGTTAATATGCTTAGTATGTGGTTGATCTAGAAAATAGACATTGAAGTGTAAAACTTAACAAATATGGCCACATTTTTAGTTTGACAACACTTGGCCTTGACAATTTGCCCCGTTGGTTGCATGGGAGATGTAAGCAAATGGGACATGCTCCAATGCTTTAATTAAGCCAATAGCTTAAAACAGGGTGACTATTCCAGACTGTGTTTTTTCTAATATTTTAGAAATGAATAGTTATATCCCAGGCTTGTTTTATTTGCAATGTTGTGGAATACCGAATGCTTTGTTGGTGGTGTGTGACGCCGTGATGGCCATGTGTCGTGGCAGTGAGACGGTGTTTGGATACCAGGGGTTGCAAATCCAGCTGTACTACAGTGCGTGTCGCCTCACCACCCTGCTGAACATCAAGTACACATCTCGAGTGGATGAAGCGTTCCACGGCCTGGAGGTGAAGTAGCTCTACCTTTTGATAAATTAAAGGTGTTTTTACCGTGGACACATTCAAACAAATCCTTAGCTCGGCACTATCGTGTTACATTCAGAGATTTACTTTAGGAGATTTGCAAAAGCTGCTGTTCACATTATGCCTTGTTGTAAATGTTATATGTAACACATTCATATACCACACCATAACCACAAAGGCCTTTGTCTACACTTATTTAAAAATAAAACTTAGGAAAGCTTTTACGCTATTTTTTTTTTTATTACATGATAGGGCGATGATGTGAGCTAGCGGTAGCGTGTTCACTACTAGTTGCAGAGATTCGCGTCAGCTGCCCTCATTATTACTGGAGATGTTATAAACATTTTGATGTAAAGCTTTCGTGACTGCAGGGATTCATCTTCTTGGTTCTTTTGGTAAAGTCACGTAGAATGGAAATAATAAAATAATAAAAATAAAACATAATAAAATAATTCTCACGACGTTTCGGCCAGGTCTGTTCTTCACCTGAGGACGGCTGCTTGCGTTGTGGCTGAAACGTCGTGAGAATTATTTTATTATGTTTTATTTTTATTATTTTATTATTTCCATTCTACGTGACTTTACCGAAAGAACCAAGAAGATGTTATAGACATTTTAATGTGACATTGCTTTATGGGCATAAAAAATGTGTGTCATTCGCAAGAGGAAGCCGTTGTGTGTTTGTGTCAGGTTCCAAATTTTCCAAATTTGAATATTACACCACAGATTACTCAATTGCTATTGTACATAGCAAGCATCAGCCCCTACTGCCACAGGTCCGTTATTTATGTGCAATTATACACTGAAATGTTACTCTGTGTTAATTACTTTATTAATCTTGTTTAAATGGTGGATACTTTATAAATGTTGCTTTTTTGACCCATTATGTAATTGCAAATGAGATTAAATTTCTTGATTTGTCTATAAATACAACAGAACATTGATCTTAAATTCCTGTTTTGTGAGTTTCGCTGTTTTCGATACACCATTTTTCAATTTACAAATAAATCCTCTGCCGCAATATTTTCTGCTCTAACAGTTTTCCACTTCTAAAATGTAACTTGACTGGTCCCTGGGAAAGTGTTAGAGATATTACTCTTTATGACTTGATCATCTGCATTACAAGTATACCAAAGCAAAACTCTAAATGTACAATGCGCTGTGGTTCCCCTTTCAGGCAGATGACATCGATGCGAAGCTGCGCAAGTACGTTCCACCAGGATGCTGTTCCAACGTGGATGACTTTGTTTCACTGCTCGAGAAAGATGCCTCGTTCAAACCGTTTGGGGAGCTTCTGCACACGTACACCGTGCCAAGCCAGGAGACGGGTGGAGACATCACCTACCAAATCTACAAGGTGAGCCAGCGCTTCCTGTGGGTATAACCCTGGATCATCTACACTTAACATCATATTGACTATGTTTGAGAATCCTTGCATGGCTCTACCAGTGGAATTTACGTGTGATACAGATACAATGGGAAGATGATGGATGCCTAGGTGTGGTCAATGGATGGGTTCCTGCTGTCAATTGTTATATGTGCTGATGCATTTGTCATTCATGATCACTTTGAGAAGTTGGGAGACTTTGGAGTTTCACTAACCTGTATTAATGTTTGCATATTATTTGCATACATTGTAATGGATTTATTCACACAGTTTGGATGTGTGGGGAGCATACTAATAATTTTAACCAATGAATATATTGGTAATTACATCCTAAATTATCTTCACCTTATATGTGACTTGCATGATAGTGGTAGATTTTGGTGACAGTAAATGCCAGGCATTGAGAACCACTATCTCTTCTCACAGGCTGATATGACAAATTCAGGTTTCAAAGAGTTCCATTCCAGGCTTCAAACTTTCCTCATCTGGTTCATTGAGACTGCAAGCTTCATTGATGTGGATGATGAGAGGTGGAACTATTTCCTGCTGTAAGTACTGACTCTTAACTAAAAAGGAACGCATGATCCATGGCACACTGTACATCATCTCGGTTTATCAAATTATGTAAACAGATTCCAAATAGTCATGATGGCTTTCTGTATTTGTAAAATATTTGTCGTTATTAAAAAAAATTGTGAAATGGATGCCACTACTTTTAATAGGTGAAATACTGAAGTGCATTTGTTATTTTTATGTTTTCCAAACAACGTTGAGTATATTTGTGCATTAGCTCTGTTCATAATGGAAGGGATAATAACCCTTGCAAAGATGATCCTACATAACCAAACTGTCATAGAAGTTTGTGTTGCTGCTTTTCGCTTACCCTGTACAAAACCTGCCAAATTAATCAAAGGGCTGCCCAAACCTTCGAGGCTATTTACTATTTACTATTTTCAACGATGCAAGCGATCAGCTTCCGTACTTCTAATTTAATACTTCCAAAGGCAAACGGAAGGTGTTACATAATCCATGCGTATTGCATGATTTATCCTAACTTGTTTGATAAGTCGTAACATAAGCAAACTATGATGTCTTCACTGCCAGTTCAATCCTGCATGTCTGGGATCACTCGTATAGTAGTAGCGTACGACACATTTGGCTCTGGTACTGGAGGAACAGCTGCATCACGCTCGAGAGCCGGGACAAAAACATTGACAAAGCGTGCGTTTGTAGTGATGTCTGGCATAGCGCTCCTTGTCAAAGTTAAGAGTCTGCAAAGCTGTTTTATTTCGACATTGAGACACTTCTGTAAGATAGAGTTGAAGTTTCAGAGACACGCCCTTTCCTGCAGCTTTACAGTGGTAATGAATGCGGTACTACTTTGAATTTATAAATATGGTTTAAATTTTTATATATTAACTTGAAAGTGTCTAAAGGACACCATATTGGATGTGGTGAGTGAGTCGTTTTATCATGTTATGACGAATTTGGCATGTTATGATTTTAAATATAAAATTATAGTGATTGAATTATTGATCGTAAAGTTTACATTTTAATAAACATGCACAGCACATATCTACTGCCTCCTTAAGGAAAGGCTTAATAATAACCACACTAGTGTGCTAAAAGAGTGCGCGTGCTGTATTGTGTAAGTGTAGATGATGGTACGTATCCATTACACAGATACGAGAAGTACATGCAGGATGGCTCTCCCCGCTACGCCGTTGCAGGCTACATGACCGTCTACAGTTACTATGCCTACCCTGACAAAACACGGCCACGCATCAGGTACCTTATGCAACCATCACAACATGCCTACCCACACTCATTGCATTTCTTGATATCCTCTTATTTGATGGTGATTTTGCTTTACTTACATATGTGTCTGGTTGCAAATATATCTTATAATGTGAATGCGTATGGACATGTTATATTGTGACCTTCTGGGCATAATCGAAAGCAGAAAATTCCAGCATCAGAATTGCTTACCCCTGACTAGTTTCGGCAGCTGGCTGTAACACCTTGCTACCTACCTTCCTCGGGGTTTGTTTCAACCCTGGAGGAAGGCATTTTCATCCTCTGTAGTGCCCATAAGCACACTTTGTCATGTATCTGGTACCCTTTCTTACCTATATTTGTTTTTGTGATCATACATATTCAGAGTTGGGTCATGTCACAGGAGATGGGAAAACACAGCACATGCCGCTCATGCCTTGTTTTCAGCAGAATTATCTATGAATAGCCCCCCCTTGCACTGTGTGCATGTACGTGCGTGGTGTTTGTGTTGCGCTTGTGCTTTGAGTAGCCAAATGCTGGTGCTCCCGCCATATCAGGGCGAGAGTCACGGTGCCCGTCTGCTGGAGGCCGTGCATCGATTCTACATCGCCGAGCCCAATGTGCTCGACATCACGGGTACACCACCCTCACCGCACCCCCCCACCACCCCCCCCCCCCCCCCGCAGCTGTCTGCATCCACGTCTAGGGAGGCCCGTGTAATGTGTCACCTTTGACCGCTCGGCAAACACGTCTGGGGTGGCTGGGATTTGTTAGCGGACTCCTGAGTGACCCCAGATGCAGGGTTGGGCAATTACACTTCTGTTCCGTGGATTTTTTAATCTCATGCCGGGAAGCGGGAGTGGTTTCTCGCCCCAATTCCAGTGTTAAATATTTAGCTCCTTTCCCTTTTTTGCCTGCCTTGTGCAAATAGTTCAGACAGCCATTAAACTCAATACATTTTATCTTATGTAAAACACCAGAGGACTGTCCACCAATTGGTTTCTGTTTCAAATAATTTAAAGTGTTACAATTTCAAGTGACGTAAGCACAAAATACGAATTATTGACATTCAAGTTACTCGTTAAGTAGGCATTCCTAATGCGGTATGAGCACATTTGTTGTGTTTTTAGTAAATATTTAAATTGTCTGTATACAATTGTACAATATACATATGCAAAACACAAACAATATTTGCATTCTCACGAAATACTGCTTCAAGCCATTTCATGTAAGGACCCATAGCTGTAGCTGAAGATGCTTATTTGTGCATCTTGAACACGCGTGGCGACTGTCCACAGCTGAGGACCCGTCGGAGAACTTCTCGCGCTTGCGGGACTTTGTGGACACGAAGTTGTGCATGGCGCTGCCCGCCTTCTCCCCGGACAAACTTTTGCTCGGTTTCACCCGTACCATGGCCACCGAGGCCCAGATGCGCCTCAAAGTCAACAAGGTGTGTGATGGGTGCTGCTTAGGGGAGGGGGTGGCCTTTGTGTTCATGCTCGTTTGCTTGGCGCAACCTCCCTGTGCCCACTACTGTTGCTGCAGTGGGGCCTGAGCTGGGTTGATAATTTTTGGGGCACTAAGCCCTGCTGAGCATCGCAAAGAGATGGTTAAGCATGATTGTACGTTCATGCAAATTTGATTAATTGATAAAAAAAAATGTGATCAAAGGTGTATTACAACTACAGACAATCTTTGAGAACATTTAGCAATATTAACACAACATTTAAATGTCATTTTGGATCTCAATTAAAATATTTAAACAATTATCCAAAGGCATCAATAGAAAATCATACACAGTACACACGAACACAGTACACCCATGATCATACATTAATGTAAACCAGCGGTGGCCAACCAACATCTCCCGAGCCACATGCGGCTCTTTAATCGACCACATGCGGCTCTATCGAAGGGGCATAATGTAGAATGTACTATAACGGTAGCAAAGAAAATATTGAATGTCTCCGTACTTTGCCGAAAACTGTCAAAATATATATAAACACACTTGGGTCTTTGCAAAACTCATGGGTATTTTTTGGCTCTCGGGTCTGTTACAGGTTGGCCACCCCTGATCTAAACAAATATATTTCAAAGCGACATATAAAGTGTCGTTCGAAGCACTTGCATTCACGTTGACAAAGTATTTCCCTGAATGAAGGGTTCCACCGGTGGTCTTTTATGTGGCTCACGTTTCGTGTGTGCGTGTGTGTGTGTGCGCCATTCGCTGTTGGCGTGCACTGTGCAGCGGCAGGCGCGGCGCGTTTACGAGATCCTGAGGCTGAAGGCAACGGATGGGAGCAACCAGAAGCAGTTTGAACTCTACTGCCAGGATGTGAAGCAGAGGCTCAACTTGCCCTTCAAGGTAACAATGACAAAGGTGGAAAAACGGCTTTTGTGAAGAAACATTCGGATTCGTATACTGGCTAAAATGTCGAGTGGTACCATGTGGCCCCATAAAGTCTATCTCTTAAAAAAGGCTGTAATCCGGCAGGCATGCCCTGCTTTTTAAATCCTTTATATTAAGTTCGCTTGCTTGCTTGCTTACGACTGTGCAAATCTTTCGGTCGTTTTTTAACCCACTTCCCGTGATCCAATCGAGCTGACATTTTGCACACAGACTCGTTGTGCGTGACAGTTAATGTTTGTGAAAAAAAAATTCCAAAATTTTACACTTTTTAGGACAAAAATATTATATTTAATTACCAATTGCTTAATGGTGCCAAGCAATCATCTGACCCATAGGTGCCAGCCATCTCAAGCCAGAGGACGAGAGGACTCTAGCCGCCACGCATATAAAGGATTTATAGTGAACAACTTTGTTTTTACGGGTTAATTTTTTTAACCGTAAAAATGCACGCCACCTGATTCTCAGTAGATGTTAAATATCCCGTTACATTATTTCTAAAGGAGTAGACCATTGTTTACTGGCGTTATGATCAAAATTTGCTAAGATTTGAAAAATTACCTGAAAAAAAGTCTCAATTGGAATAACTGAGCAATGTCACCTGGTACTGTGAAACTACCAGAGATTATATCTGAGAAATAGCACCTTAGTTTTCCTCTGTAAGAATTACATGAATACCAAATATACTCGATCATTATTACTTTGTCCAATGTGGGAATCATTGATGTCACCCATTTAGGATCCCCTCTTGAGATGTTTCCTTTTGTAAAGTTATTCTAATACAGATTTTTTTCCATGAAATTTTTTATTTAAAATAGTTAAAATGTTTAATATTTCAAAACGCATTAAATTATGTTTATCATTACCAAGTATTTGGCCGATACCATTTTGCTACGTTTTAAAAACATATCCACATACATAAAACTAAAATTTATAATGTAATAACCATATTCAAAATGTTGATCAGACATGAATAGGGTTTTGGCAATCGAGTGCTCTGCTTTAGGCTCTACCCGTGCGTATGTTTTGCGTTTCGTATGTGTCTGTCTGTGCGCTGTTGGAGCAGAAAAACAACCGCGAGCTGGAGAAGATGCGCCGCTTTCTGAACTCGGAGGAGCTGACGGCACAGCTGCAGCAGCTGGACCCTTTGCGACAGGAGCAGTGGCTGGAGGAGCAGCTGCAGGAGACGCTTGTGCAGTACCGCCGCGTGCTTGAGCGCATCGCACAAGCCTAGCGTCCTTGCCGCGCCCCACGTTAGGGGCGCTTGTGCTTTGCTGCACAACACACACAGTTTGGCCGTTGATTGTTAATCCCCCTGCGACGGCGAGGTCATCGAGCGTGTTGCGTTGGCGCCGATCGCTCGCCCCGTGCGCGCGGACGGTTTGCCTGCTGCGGTGTTGTGTTCGGCAAAGTAGAGGAGGCGACCCCTGTTAACGCAAAATCGAGCGATAAAATAAAGGAAAACTCCTGTACTCCCTGCACAACATGAGCAGTCGGCGCAGCTTGTGCTGGGAATTTGGACAGCACTGATAATGCGAGGCAGCTGTGATGCCACCAATTGGAAGTTGGTTGTGGTCACACTGAGCACTGAAGGTGGCACTGCAGTGTATAAGCAGTTTTCTGCTATCATAAAAAAGTTTGTTTTGTATCATAGGTCACACTTGTAAGCAAACTAACAGTCTTTGTGAATCTACGTGTGGGATTTGAAGCAAATTACAAAGCATTTAGTTCACTTGTAAACGGTGCCTACCTTTTGCTTTACCAGTGCTGTCCACCAAATATGTGCAGCAACTGCCCCACCCCCTTTTCACACTTGTACAGCCAGGGGAAAGTCCATCTAACACATGGCCGTTTGAATTATTGGGTTACCTGGATTATAAATGCACCCTCAAACGGGCAATAATGACTGATTTTTGGATTGTAATGTAGCTTGAATGTTTAAATTCCTCCATGTACATATCTACCCTTCAGAGCTCTGCAGGCGCTCAGCTTGCACGGGTATTGTGCAGCAGTGGCAGTAATCACTGCGGTGGCTTGTGTCATCCACCTGAATGGCGCGTGTGCATCGTATAAGTGATAATTGATATGAGCAAAACTGGAACAACAGCACTGAGCGCCTTGTAAAGTGTTTGTGCTTTTGCAAGAGACGTAACGGCAGAGCTGATATAACTTCTGGGCTGTATTTCCTAGACACAACAGTGACTCGGCTAACATCTGTTTCCTTTTTCTAACAAGCATCAGAACATCTGCTAAATAACACCACGTCTTACCGACTATTACACTGTGTTTTAGACTTCTTAATTGTTCACGTTACAAATGTTGCTGCGCCACCATTTAAGTTATGTGCATTCCTGCACAAGATTTAAACTGAAGTGTTTATAAAGTTGAATGTTGTCTTCCATGCTTGAGTTGGATTATTTCTGTTTTCAAAGTAGGTGCTTTCAATTAAGTGGGCTCGTGGGTAGGACACGTCGATGGAGGGATGATGGCTGGTGGTTTAAACTCGCGGCGGCGTGGCAGTCAAGGAAGGGAATGCACGCGATAGGATGCCCACCGCAGAATTGGGAGTGATGAAATTGGATCGTGCAAGAATGAGATGGATAGTGGCATCACAAGGTAGAGTGGGAAGGGCTCCCAATATCATAGCTGATGATGATTGTTTAATATCTTTCTGCAAAGCATACTTGGCTTTCAAAGTGCAAGAAAACACTAATTTGTTCATAACACTGCCTTCAAAGTGCAAAAAATATGTACTCGGTGGCATGTTGGGCAAAGGCTCTTCATTGGAAATCAATAGATCTGAGAGATGCCGTGAAGAGATGGAGACTGCACTTAACAACATGAGGCCTCATCATCATACCTCCTTTGCCAGTACCAAAATATAAAACAAACCTTTTTACAAGGATTCATGTCTGCATTAACCACAATACTTGCAGTCAAAGTTACATTTTAAAAAAAAATTCTGATCCCTCTTTTAAATAGACATGAATCGTTTCCCAGTGATAGCTATTGAGTAATATACAACCCTGTAAAAAAAATCTAAAACTTCCTAAAGATCATTAAGAGTAATACAAAATGTTGCTGGCACAGTGTTGCTTTTAATAATTTTAACTTTTCACGTAAATACTTTATTTAGTAGCACTTTTTGGATTATTTAAGGTTGATTAATAGCTACAATTCATGCCTATTTTAAAAAAGTGACCAGGAAACATTTCAAGGATATATGCTCATCGTCCCCGATGGTACACCGTGTTATGGAGGGGCCTTTTCCCAAAACGTCCACCTATTATGTACTTTTATTTTAAGGCTCTATTTTTATTGTGGAATGTTGAGGTTTTTTTGTTAATTGTGCTAATGCACGGCTGCCAACAGCATTGCCAATTTTTTATTTACAAAATGCAAGTTGTCTTAAACATAAATTGACGCCTCCTTCGCATGAATAAATTCAACCACTGCAAATGTTGAGGCTCTGATTGGTCAGCATAGACCTCGGTATACCAACCATTTTGGAAAACGTTTTCTGGTTTCTAAGGTTATATGGAGCGCTTAAGAGAATAACAGCTGGGGCACCTTCCTGTATACATGCACGGTAACTATTTGCTATTTTTAAATCCTTTATATTAAGTTCGCATGCTTGCTTGCTTGCGTGCTTGCTTGCTTACGACCGTGCAAATCTTTCGGTCGTTTTTTAACCCACTTCCCGTGATCCAATCGAGCTGACATTTTGCACACAGACTCGTTGTGCGAGACAATTAATGTTCGTGGAATTTTTTTTCCCAAAATTTTACACTGTTTAGGGAAAACAAATTAAATATTTAATTACCAATTGCTTAATACTGGCAGACAATCATCTGACCCATAAGTGGCAGCCATCTCAAGCCAGAGGACGAGAAGACTCTAGCCGCCACGCATATAAAGGATTTACAGTATAGTGAAAAACTTTGTTTTTACGGGTTACATTTTTTCTTGTATATAAAGGACACGTAAAAACGTAATGTTCAAAAGCATTTTAGTATGTACAGATACATGTGCATGAATTCAGAATTGACATTTTTGTGAGAATAGTGAAAGCTGGTTCTAGAAATAGCAGTTTTCTACCAAATTATATTAAAAACTCTTTCTAGAAGATAACGTAAATGACCAGTACTGCATTGGATGCTTCCACCATAAGTGAGCAATACTTTACTGTTGAAAGCTATAATATATTTTTATGGAGCCCATAACCATCATGCGTCGGGCATGGCTCTTGAGCGGTGTGAGCACCTGTGCGGTGCTGGCCACTTGTGGTGATGGGCCAAATGGAGCGTGCCAAGTAAGCGGGTCGCTCCCACCGGAGGACACCGTAATCCCGTGGAACCTTACCCCCCCCTTTCATCACGTACAGCACGATTTGATTTGCAGCATCTGCCGTCGCTTCCAGACACTCGGTCAAACTCGACTTTACGTTAAGAAATTCGTAGGAAGAGGATTGCGTGCTGATGCAGATGGAATATTTTCCCCCAGAATGAGGGTATAATGTAAGATGTTTTAACATGAACAATATGACTATTCTCACGTGCGTATGGCATCGTGCTACAGGATAACGAGCTGTTCGTAGCCATGATTTTATGACTGACCTTTTGTACATTTAACAGTGACCATTTTTGTTATTTACCGTTACAATAGTCTGCCTCTACTGGTGAGTCCATTGCTTGAGTACATGCGTTGCTGCTTGAATTATCAATGAATTAAACATTTAGATTTTTTAAATCTAACGATGGCCCTGCATTAACAGTGGTTAATGCATGGGGTCATTATAGTTGCATGCGCATCTGCACGCAGTTGTTAGCAATATCCAAAGTAATGTCCTTTAATGTATATGGACAAGTTGTACGTATACGCGCCTCGAGCCTGCTCCCCACCACTTTATTCCACAACAACAGACGAGGATAAATTTTGAAAGGAGGTGAACCACTGCACAGAACATCACTCGCCATCTGTTCCTCTAGAAACGATGCTGTTTCTCATGTTGCAGCCTCTGCCAGGAAACAAAGGCACCTGTTGGAGCTGGACCTAAAGTTACCTCCTGGGCTTTGTAACCCCCCCCCCCCCCCCGAGGTTTATCTCGCCATCTGCCTCTGTGGCCCCTGCAGGTGGCACGGGGGCCAGTGTTTACGGCGAAGATGTGTCGACCGGAAAATGCAGATAGCACTCGTTTACGTGGAACGGCCGATCAGTGCCGGATGGGATCATCCTAATCGCAATGGCGGTGGTTTGGTTTGTGCATTATGCTTTGCAACGCAAAACAAAGCAAAGCAGCTTGGATGTATATACTCTCGTGTCTAAATGCAACTGCATTTCACAATGCTGTACATAAGTGGCATTCTGGGTAAAGGATGTATATTTACTTTGTAGAGGAGTCATCGTCAGAAAGTCTTGGATTTTAACTGGTATAGTGTCAACAGCACAGATGACTGGGAAAAGTGGGTTCCATATGGGGACGTCAGGAAAAATTTACTTCTCAATGAGCGATGGTTTACTGGGAGCTTTAACAAGTCTTCTTCAGTTACTGTAACAGTGCGTGTGTGGGTTATGTAAGAGGGGGGAAATTTTTACAGGTGAGTCCATGGTTGTTATTGAAGATGATAAGGGTGGTTTTGAATTTGATCCGGAATTGCATTGGGAGAGATTTAAGTATTGGGGTGATGTCACATTTTGGAATGGAAGATGTCTCGCTGTGGATTTTGGAGGTGATGGATTTTAAGAGGCTGTAGAGAGTTTAGTAAATTCGTGATGTGATGAAGTTATTGATGAGGGTCTCAGTGGCAGCAAGCATCACATAATATCACGGCAATTGAAGGCATATGGTACTGCAGAGTGGAGATGTTGGAAGAGAATAAAAGCCCCGGGATCAATGACAACTCAAGGGTTTACACGGTGAAATATCGAGGTTTAAGGGTGCGTGTTCAAACTGGAAACTTTACTTTGTGTGAACTTTTCCAATGACGAGAACTGCAGTTCTGGCAGCATTTAGCTGGTGGAAGTTAGAACTAATCCAAGATGAAATCACACCACGGCAGGATGTGGCAATAAACAATGAATATGGGTTCATGATGCCAATAGTGATGTCGAGTTAGTATTAATAGCATCGAAGCGATGGTTAGCATTGCATCTATGTAGCTCCAATATATCTCCAAGCAGGAGGAAATGCAATGAGAAGGGCAGGAGGCTCGGGATGGTATATTTGACACCATAGTACAAGAGTTTTTGAGAGGAAGACGATCTTGTATAGAATGGCCTCGGTGGGAACCAAATTTCACTGGGTACAGAGATCAAGAAAGGATAGATGAGAGAAGACTTATTGTGATATGAAAGCTTCCCACAATTAAAAAATGTTTAAATTGAGGTGGCTATTTGGCTCGAGGGTCAGAGCACTAAGCCAACACCACCGATATCCTGGATTCATATCCTCGCGCCACTGACCACGGCAAATCGCCGTGTCCTGCAGAGCAAGTATGCTACTCTGGTTATCGTACCCAGAATCAGTATCGTCCTGGCTGAGCGACATTTCTCGGTAGCTGCACCAGCCATCTGGAACTCTCCCAGCGAACATTCGCTACACCCAAGCGTCACCCACTTTTAAGCAGCAGCTAAAGGCTCTCACCTGTTCAGGCTCTCACCTGGGCAGGCCGACATACGAGGGACTTTGAGCTTTGGCTGCGTGCCTTCAGGATCTCGATCGAACACTGCATCGGATGCATGAATTATGCAGGCGTTATAAAAATGTGTTTATTGTTTCACAGGCAGCTACCGTTGATGAAACCAGGCGTCTAATCCAGTGAGTTGATAGGCTCATTCAATTCACCTCTGCACGCAAAAACAGATTTGGTTATTCACTTAATTTGGTTTTGTTTCAGCTCTGGGAATTAAATGTTTGCTTTGGCAGGCCGCAAACAATATGCGCAACGCGTAGAAAAATGCGTCCCCCAAGTTGTGGATAAAGATATCAATCTATGATAATTTCATAATGTTTTTTTGATGATATCTTCCAGGGCCATTTCTCAACACAAGGGGTTGCTCTGCTAGCTGCAAAAGTTCCACGTGGAAATGGCTTCCCCTTATCCTATAACATTAACTAATAGCACAGATGAAATATATTTGGGAGAGAAAAAAATCCAACCTTTTAAAATTCTCAATAAAAAAGTGTCCCTTTTGTTTGCATGACCCAGACATTATAGTAGCCGTGTATATATGCGATACCATACTCCTTACATTTACCTGGATTTATGTATTGTCTCGTTTGATTTTCATTATCATTAATAGAAGCCGCAAACTTGTTCAATACATCACTTACCACTCTCCCCCCAATGTCTGCTTGCAAGTGGCTTGAGACACCGTGCAGTCCATGCAGCCGATACATTA